ATATATATATATTATTTCTTTCGGGCCAATAACTCATACTAGATTTTTTGATTAACCACTCATTTCGCAGGTCATTACTCCTACACTTGAGAATATTGCGGATGCTCCTCAAGTAGAGCTTCCTACTGGTGTTGAGACTTCGACCCTGGACACCACCGTTAATGCTGAAGCCTCTAACTTGGGTGTCCCTATTGGTGTTGAAATTCCTCATTCAAACATCCTTGTCGATATCGAAACTCCTCGACAGTCCTCTCAAGGTGATGCCCCTTCTTTCGAGTTAAGACCTGACATTCTTCTTGGCACATGTATCCACTATTAATCCCTTGGCATGATTTGCGTTTTCGCTATCCTATACATATTTCTTCATAACTTATCTTTCTTTCTTTGTTTAGGGGAAACCATAGTTACCCCTGATTCAGCTCAACTCGCTACGTCTTCTTCCAAACTAGATAGGAATGACCTCGAGTCTTCTATGCCACCTCCAGCTTCAATTCCTTCAGCTGATTTTGATTTAATTAGCTTTTTCAATGATGATGCTGAAGTAGATAATATTTTTGATGTGTTGGAGAATTGGACTAGTGGGGCTTTGATGTCGAAAAAAATGCCTGAATCTGTTGTTGCCTTTCAACCCCTACTGGAAGCCTTTCGCTCGAAAGCATAAGTTGACGACTTGGACCAAGCGTTCTTGATCCTTAATTTTAAATTTGAAGTCGAGAAAATGGTAGACGACCTGTTAGCTTTGCAAGATTTACCTCAAGAAATCCATACTGAACTTCATGAATTCGTGAAGCCTTTCACCCTTGCTTACGAACTTCGAGCTAAATGGGCTAGCTCTTTTCAAGAGGTAGCTCATATCGAAGTAGAAACTGAGGGTGATCGAACCAAGCTTGAACATCTCAGGCAAGAGTTACTTTCCATCTAAAAATCCACAGAGGAGATGATTCCTTCTTTGAGGAAGTTGCAACAAGAAGAGGCTGACACTGAAAAAACCATCGAGGCTTTACAAAAAGAGCTTGAAAATATTCGGTCCAAGAAAACTGCGTTGAAAGTGGAGAGCCAAGAAGTGCTACAAAGACAAAAACGTCTTAAGGATGAGGGCAAGGAGATATCTTCAAGACTCTCTAAAACTCTTGAGCACAAGAAGCGACTAGAAACCCAATGTGCTTCTCGAAGACACACCTTAGATCAAGCCTATCAGGCTTATAGGAGTTTCAAGTGATGCATTCTTCAATACAATTATCTTTCATGGAATTTTTTCAAGTATTTACCGTTAATTACCCTGCTCGTAGACTTAGAATTTATCTCTTTAATTACATACGCATTTTTCGATTACACTTGATCAATTACAAATGAACCTTCCCAATTACACGACCACTTGCCTAAGTATCGAGATTTTTGATCCATGGGAAGAATTGTCTTTAATACTAGATCTCCGACTGCAAATCTCTGAATTTTAATTCTTTTGTTGTATGTCCTTTCGAATTTTTCTTTTTACTGAATGATATTTTGTAATGCTATTATCCTTTATTCATCTAATTGGACGAGCTTGTCATACATCGAGTTCCAATAATCCTCAGTTGGTAGATCATTTTGCTTCTGGACCTGAATAGATTGTAAATTGATATCTATAGGAAATATTGCCTCGTGACCATAAACCAACTTGTATGGCGTTGTTCGAGTAGCATCCTTGGGTGAATTTCTATAAGCCCACAATACTTGCAACAATGTTTCATGCCAATTTCAAGGCTTTCCCGAGATATGTTTTTTAATTAATGCTATAACTACTTTTTTAGAAGCTTCGACTTGGCCATTAGCTTGTGCATAGTAAGGTGTCTAAGTAACCAACTTGATTCCTCTTGACTGAGCGTATTGCATAACCTTTCGCCCTGTAAAAACTGTACCTTGATCCATAGTGATTGTCTGAGGTACTCCAAACCAAACTATGATATGGTCTTCAATGAAATCTAAAATCTCTTTTTGGTATACCTCTTTCAATGGGATTGCCTCTACCCACTTTGTAAAATAATATATAGTTATTATTATGTATCTATGGTTCTTTGAAGATGGTGGGTGAATTTGTCCTATTATATCAATTTCCCACCCTCGAAACGACCATGGTTTGACAATAGAATGCAACTCATTTGCTGGTAACCTCTGTATTGGACCATGTTTTTGACACTCCTCGCAACTTTTAGCAAATTCGATACAATCCTTGATCATGCTTGGACAATAGTACCCTTTTCTAGACAAGGTCCATTTCATTTTTTCTCCTTCTTGGTGAGCTCCACAAATACCCTCGTGTACTTCTGCCATAGCTATATAACTTTCATGACTTCTGAGGCACTTAAATAAAATTCTGTCAAAACCTCTCTTGCACAGCTCGTTGTTCAATATGACATAATTAAGAGCCTGATATTTTATCTTTCTTTCGACTTTTGAGTTTGGGTTTTGGAGATATTCGATTAACTCTTTCCTCCAATCCTGAGTGCTCGAGGTGTTGATGGTGAAGCCTTCTTGATTGTAACTCAACTCGTTTTCTGTACAAATTAAAGATTCAAGACATTTTTTACTTATCTTATATCTAGATGCAGTTTGAGCTAATTCATTAGCAATCCTATTTGCATTTCGAGCAATATGCTCCAACTGAACTTCATCAAACGAGTTTAACAATGCTATGGCTCGAGATTTACATTCTAGTAGCCTTTCGCTTATGTATTTGTATTCTCGAGTTAATTGTTTAATCACAAGTTGAGAATCTCCTCGAATTATTATGTTTCTTGCTCCCAATTATTTAAGTAACCTTAACCCGATAATCAATGCTTCATATTCAGTTTCATTATTTGAGTATTCAGGTTTTTTCCTTAATGAAAATTTTGTGGGAATTTCACTAGGGGAAATAATTAATAATCCGATTCCTGCTCCTAACTCGTGTTTCGATCCATCAAAAAATAATTCCTAAGATTTTGTGGTTTCATAACTTATTAGTTCTGTTAAATTCGAATGATCTGTGAGAAAATTTTCAATTACTTGTCCCTTAACCGATTTAAGAGGAACGAAAGTTAATGAATATTCTGTCAATGCAAGTGCCCATTTGTCAATTCGAGAATGCAACACATGTTTACACAACATATATTTAATCACATTACTTCGAGAAAATACCAATACATCGAAAGGTCTAAGATAATACTTCAACTTTGTTCAAGCAAAATATAAACTTAAACATAGTTTCTCTAAAGGAGTATATCTACTTTCTACTCCTACCAACATTCTACTTAGATAATAAACAACTCTCTCGATGCCATTATCATCGTCTTGCGCCAGCATGCCCGCAATAGTTGAATCGTTGACCGAAACATACAATTTCAGTTCTCCTCCTTTAGAGGGTTGTGCTATTACTGGAGGAAGAGCCAAATAAGACTTAATTTCCTCGAGTGCCCTCTGGTGCTCTTCTTCCCATCGAAATGCCCCCTCTTTCTTTAAACGTAATAAAGGAGAGAACACCTTAGTTTTTCCAGATAAATTTGAAATAAACCTTCTGAGAAAGTTTATCTTACCTAACAAAGATTGCAGTTCCCTTTTGTTCGAGGGTGGCCTAGCCTCCATAATAGCCTTGGTTTTGTTTTTGTCCACTTCAATTCCCTTTTGATGTACGATGAATCCCAGAAACTCTCCTGCTGTGACACCAAAAGCACATTTTAGTGGGTTCATTTTTTAAACCATGTTTTCTCACTCTTTCGAAAGATAGCTTTAAATGCTATAAATGGTCATCCTTTTGTTTCGACCCAATGACTATGTCATCAATATATACTTGAAAAAACTTACCTATCAAATCATGAAATATTAAATTCATTGCCCTTTGATATGTGGCACCTGCATTTTTTAATCCAAATGGCATTACCACCCATTCGTAAACTCCTAAAGCTCCTGGACATCGAAAAACAATTTTTGATATAACATTAGTTGCAATGTAAATTTGATTATACCTAGAATATCCATCTAATAGACTTAAGATTTCATTACCTGCAACTGCATCTATCATTGTCTCAGTAATAGGCATAGGGTACTCATCTTTGGGTGTAGCCAAATTGAGATCTCGAAAATCAATACACACCCTGAGCTTCCCATTTTTCTTGATGACAGGCACAATATTAGATACCCATTAAACATATCTCAAAGTACGAATGAACTTGGCTTTCAGTAACCTCTCGATTTCCTCTTTAATTTTGTCAATTACTTCAAGGGTGAACCTTTGAGGATTCTGTTTCATTGGTTTCTTTCCAGAAATTATTGCCAGTCTATGTTCCACCAATCCTCGATCCAGACCAGGCATTTCTTCATACTCCCAAGCGAAACAGTCCTTATATTCGTGTAACACTCGAATAACTCCTTCTCTTAGACTCCCCTTCAAAAGCTTGATAATATAAGTGATTTTCTTGTTCTCGATGGTACCCAAGTTGATTTCCTCTAATGGATCTTGGGCTCTAGCTTGTACTCTTCACTCTTTGACTTTTTGAATCCCAAAGGAGAATCATCGAAAACACAATCAAGCTTTGTTTCAGGCTCTGGCGGCCCTTTTTGCTGAACTTTGACTCCCTGGTTTTGTCGATCATTTTTTGTTTTTTCCTTTTCTTTTTCTTCGGCTATTCCAACTGTTTTGTCCACACACTCTCTTAAGATTCTCGAGGCATCATTAATCCCCTCGATGCCTTCACCATCCTCGACCCTTCCGGCCGTTTGTTCGACCACGTAGGCCGAAATTCGAGCTAAAAAGCTTGAATATTGATCTCGGTATGTTATGCTTGCTCCTGAGCCGATTCAGTCTCGACTTAAAGAATAACAAATCCTCTCTGTACATCCCAACAAAAAATATTCTTAAAGCCTTCTTCTTCTTCTAACATAGTGGCATTATGAACATCGAAAGGCTTAGTTTTTGCAAACACAATTAGTTGTTGATCTGCGAAGTACATGCCCACTTAATATTCTTTCTAGTTAGCATCGAGTACTTCCAGTCCTTCATCATCATTCCAGAAGAAGATCTTCTGGTGAACAGTTAAAGGAACTGCCCCAACTCCGTGTTTCCATTCTCGTCCTAGCAACATATTAAAATTTACTTTTGACGGAGTCACGATAAACATTGTTATCCTTTTCACACTCCCTATCTACACATTAAGTAAAATCATTATTTTAGGTTGTGAGGACTTCCCTGCATAATCTGATATGAGAATATTGTGAGGCTTCAAATCAGCTACTGTTTTTCCAAACCTTTTAAGCATGATTCTTGGGAGTATATTTATAGCTTCTCCCCCATCTACCAACACTTTGTTCACCTCATGCCCTTCGATCATTAGAGTCAACAATAGAGGCTTCAGATGAGCCTTCATTTCCTTAGTTGGCGAGTCAAACACGACTGAGTTGAACTTGGGGATAACTCGAGAAATCTGATTAACCCACACAATTTTTTATTCATAATTAGGATCATCGAAATAATCTTCCCTATGAATGTCCTCTTGCTCATTTACCGATTCCATGGCTCTAGCATACTCAGAAGGCAAAATTGACACTATGCCACAAATGTCATCCAAGGAATCCTCAAACCAACTCTCGAAGCAATCAGTTATCATGTCTTCATCATCTTCCATGAACTTTCAAGATGAGTCACCCTTTTGGGGCACTGGGATTGAGAAACGATTTCCCCTGAAACCCTCGAATGTAGCCTTGCTCATTCTTTGCTGCCTTCTCCATTGGGTATTGGTTAAATTATTGAAAGGCTTCTGCTTAAGTCCACGCCCATAACTTCCAGGCACATTCGAAAACTTCCCAGGGGCTCCCTGGAATGTGGGTCCCACATAGTTCATGACTTATTTTCCTTGACCCATTCCAGCCATATGCCTCTGTAGTGCAATCCACTTTCCTACTAGTACATTCGCATTTGGCACAAAGGTATTGCCAAATCTCGATGAGTTGTGCATTTCCATTTTTCTTATTGGAGCATTATACTGAGGCATGTGTATCTGCCTCATAGTCAGCCCAGTGTTTTCCTTTGCCTTCTCTTGAAGTTTTTCAGCTTTATAGCTTTTCAGTAACTCTGATTCCTTGAAAGCTTTAGCAGCAACTCTATCGAACACTGCACTATATCGAGGGCATAACATGACCTTTTTGTTAGTATCCTTCTTCTTAGAAAGGAATTCGATCAGACTATCCCCCTGCTTTGGATATATTGGCTCCTTCTTCTTAGCGAAATCGTCCTGCAGTTCTTCCAACTTTTCATCTGAGATGGGTTCAACATTTTCATCTTCATCAATGTTAACCTTGACCATGTTGATCCCTATCGAAACAAGTTCTACATACCCAATGTGAAATGTAAATGGATCAATATCTACTTTCATATCTTTCTCCTCGAAAGCAAGACGACCCTCAACAATCGCCTTTTCAATCACATCCTTGAAACGTACACAATTATTAGTCCAATGACCATACATGTTATGATATTTATAAAACTTTTTCCCTTTTATTTTCTCCAATGGAGGAATTTTATAGTTTTTTGGAAGTACAATCTACTTATCTTTTAATAGGATATCGAATATTTTATCAGCTTTGGTTACATCAAAACTATATCGTTTAGTTGTACCCCCTTCCACATTATCTCCTGGTTTTAGCATTTGGCATTGATATGTAGGAGCAGGACGTAATTCAGCTATATTTACTTCAAAATCTTCACTCAGATTCTCATAATTAGTATCTTTGTTGATCTCTTCATTATCTATATAAGCAACTTTTTCTTTTCGAACAAACCTATCGAACTTTCTTAACTTTTCTTTCTCTATTTTAATCTATTCGATTCTTCTCACTTTTTCTGCTAACTGGGCCATATCCCTCAGTTGTTCATTCACAAGTTTTTTACGAATTGAAAAGTCTAATCCAGTAGCATCTATTTTAACCAATTCATGTTCAGGTATGTTTGTATAACATCAAGATTTTAACTGCCTGAATCTATTCAAATAGTCATCTAATGTTTCATGATGCTTTATTTTTATATTCATTAAATCGACTATACTTACCTTGGTTTCTCCCCGAAAAAAAATGTTCGTCAAAATTTCCTTCTAACTAAGCCCATGTATTAATCGAATTAGGAGGTAACGTTGTAAACCATGTAAAAGCATGTTTAGTCAAAGAACTTGGGAAATACTTCATCTTTAGGTATTCATTGTTCCCCAAATCCTTGCATTTGACTAAGTACCTTGCTATATGCTCAATAGTGGATTCATTCAATTCTCTCATGAATTTTGAGAACTTTGGAATTGTCATTCCTCTAGGCAATTTTGCCTGGGTTATGTACTCTAGGAAGGCAGACACAAAATAAGGATGTTCCTTTCTTCCTATCTCGAAACCATGTCTATTTAATACCCTCTTTACTACCTGATCTAAGTTTTCTTCGAGGTTCCTATGAGGCCTTCCTAGATTTTGGGGAATACCATTCCCACCCTGATTATCTATGTCGTTTAGATTTGCCTTCATGGATCTCGAATGTTGGCTATCCCCCTATTTATCACCTATTTTATTTATCAACTCATATAAACGAGTGAGTATGTTATGCATCTGGGTTGATAGTAAATTTACCATGTCATGATTAATATGATCTATCTGTTGTCAAAGGGCTATTATAGCTTGATTACTTATACCTATGGGAACATAGTTACTCTGTCGCACCAAGGATCCTTCTTGGCTAGTGCCCACATGTTGGTAAAGGTCTTGCATGATAAAACCCATCCCGTTTGGAGCGGGATTATACCCTTGTGAGGATACATGCATTTGTGGATTTGACCCCAAATAAGGCATTGGGATCTCAACAAGCATGGGTTGAGTAGTTCACCAATTTGGAGGCATACCCCATGGGTATTCTCGAGTGGCATTTATAAACCCTTGTGATGTATTTATTTTCCTAGCCACATTCTCAGGTATTACAGGAGGCGATGTTGCCCCCCTTGTCACGACAATTGTATTCTCTAGATTATGATTTGAATTTTTATTTTCTATATCTACTTGATCATCATTATTCACCTCTCTCCTGCTAGACGTAGACAAGGTTCTTCCACTCCTAAATCTCATAAAACATACCTAAAACTAGTTCAATTATGTTTTCAATTAAACATGTCCCACCGGGCGTGCCAATTTTTTTACTGGGAATTTCGTTTATGGATTCTTTTTCGTTTGAACTAGCAAAATGTTTCAATTTAGGTATGTGTAAATAAGGTTTCTAAGAGGATGATAAAGACAGCCATAATTGTCCTAATTCATTTAGCAAGTTCCGATCTCCATATGTTCATCAACAATTATCAACAAATAACTCTCATGAACATAAACATTCAAATATATCAAGTGAATAACATATATATTGGCAATGCAGATCATCGTCCAATTCACATGCTTGTTGAATTACAATAAGTACTGATAAAAAAAAGTAACAAACAACTACACTAGACTACAATAGACCTAAAAAAAAGAAGAAAGAATGTGGCCAAGAAGTCATATCTAGCAATCTCGTGCATGGAAGCCATACGCCCAGGCAATGAGTGCTTTGGAGAGTTCAAGTATGATTTTTTTGACCTCCTAGAAATGGCTTGCTTTTCCTATTTATAAAGGTTATTGGGAGCGGTTAACCTCACGTGGGTTCATCGTGGGATGTACAACTGCTATCCACTAAGCAACTTCCGTGAATTGAGTGCAACCTCTCGTAACCTCTTGTTCCACGCGTTTTTATCCCTTCGACACATCACGTAGTAACCTCTTTGGCGTAACCACTCAAACTACTCAAGAAACCTCCAGTAACCTCTTTCCATTTTATAAATTTTCGAGCCACCTTCGAATACATGCATACCTATATCCTATCCTAATATTTTCTCATCTGGCAGGTATCCTTTTTTCGAGTAGGTCCTGTGAAAATTTGTTCGAGTGACCCCAACAAATACATAGTAGATAAATATTACATGAGAGTAGGGATGGCAAATATACCCGTACCCGCGGGTAATAGTCGAACCCGTCCTGACTTCGACGGGGAATACCCGGTTTGACCGGGTACGGGTACGAGTATGTACTTACCCGCCCCGTTCCCGTCCCCGTTCCCATTTTTAATATAATACACACTTTTAATTTAATTATATTAAATAATTTTAATATTTTTTTATGTGTGATTATTTATTATAATATGAGATAAAGAAATAACCTAATTATAATTATAATATAATAAAAAAAAATTAAAATATCATATTTTATTTTACAAAAAATAAAAAATAAAAAAATTGACGGGTACGGGTACGGTATGGGTATACCCGATACTCGACGGGGACGGTGATGAGGATGAAAATCATATACCCAATGGGTACGGGTATGGCGACGAGAATGGGTTTGACTCGCGCGGACGGGGACGAGTATCATGAAACCCGTACCCGACCCGCCCCATTGCCATCCCTACATAAGAGGACATTAAACTAGAATCAATTGTTTATCAAAAGATTGAAAATATTATTAATTTTATTCTTTTTTCAAACCTTGTCATTTATGTTATTTTTTTATTATTAATTATGTTATTTCATTTGAAAATTCACATTAAAAATCTAATAAAATCCTTTCAAATCTTATAAATTCTTAAGATACAAATCCATTAAAATTCATATTAAAAAATCTTGATTGAAAAATTATTTTTAAAAAAATCTTAAAAATCATTACATTCCTACAATGTCTTTTGAAAAAAATCTTTAAAATCATTAAATTGCTACAAAGTTTTTTAAAATCTACAAAAAAAAAAAATTATGTTAAAATAATTTTATAAAATCATATTCCAATACTCTTGTTAAGACTTTCATTAGAACCTATTTAGTTAAAGAGGTCAAATTCTGAACTATTTAAAAACCTTATTAAGCCTAACAAATTAATATATTTAAATAAAAATAAATATTTATTATTTATTTTTATTATATTAAATTTATTATAATGTATTACTAAGTAGATCCTTGAATGAATTAATAAATTAGGCCAAAATTTTATGTAGATTAAACCAAACTTAAAAAAAAAAGCCTAAGACAAATAAATAAGTTAAATTTAGATCATTTTTTAATTAAAGGTCTAGACTAGAAAAGTCTGGTCTAGTCTATTTTAATCTATAATAGTCATTTTGTTTACTTGGAAATTTAAGGAACGCGTTTGCCCAAAAAAAAAAAAAAAATATAT